AGAGGAAGAAGATTACATTACTTGTCAGTCACTTATGGATTTGGTCTTTAAATGTTATTCCTTGACAACGGAAAAATAATACCAACAGACCTATCGCTTATCCAAATTGTTAAACTAGTTTATACAAATGTATCAAATGTACAATGAAATGAATGTTTGCTTATTTTTGGATACCAGCAGTTGATAAAACTGAAGTCTTCAACGATATACCATTCATAACAGCATCTAGTATTCCGTAATTTAAAGACAACCATTGCAGGCGAGAGTCCTTCTGAAACACTTCCTCAGGATGATCATATATCTCACTCAGGCCTTGCTCGCCTGAGGAAAACAGACCATGGCGGACATTTCCACTTGTCTAATGCAGTTGTAATAAAATGATGGATACTTTCTATTCAGGCGTTCCGAGGCCTATTATAACTACAATTAATGTTATTAGATCCACCTGTGCTGTTGCTGCTATCACATGTCAAAATGTCGGCTGTGTAAAGAGTCCATTAGGGACCTGAGGCGTCCTTTGTGATGGTGGATTGGATTGATTTCAGGGTCACATAAGGACAAAGAAATGAAAAGACAGGAAATAATGGGATGGAACTTTTGCCATCTGCAATCTTGCTGTCATTACCTTCACAGCAGTGTGCGGCAACGTTTCACACAGAGAATATAAACTGTACGGCTGAATTCACAACGGATTAGATCTAATAAATAATAAGATGTCAGTTACATTTCTATTTCCCCTTTGTTTATCATGGAGGATTATTTATTTGATATGTTAAGTAGGAGAAATACCTTTGGCAAATGTGACTTTTTTCAAAATGAAATGATAATTTCTTTGTTATTTGAGTATGCACCCAAAAGTCAAGTTGCAGTTTACATCCATGTCTGTCCAAAACATTATCCCTTCATCATTTTATCCTATTAGACATTTGCCTGAGATCGTCATTATTAGTATAAGAATTCTTAAGTTATGGCCAAAAAGGTTTTTAGTGAGGTAACATTGTGCCGAAAAGAAATGCTATTCCCTTAATTTGTTTCGGAAATGTTTAATTAACGAATATCGGACTGTCTAACCGGCCATAGACTGTATAAAAAGTGGATGAAGACTGAGACGTATGTGGTGCGGGCAGGATTCTATTTTTCAGGCAAATATTGGATTTAATTTATGGCCTGCTGTGCGATTAAAACAGACTGTCAAAAATGAGGCTGTCCGATGGTTTTGGTGTATTCAGCCAGCTAACACTATATCTACGTCCAATACTGATTCACCTGAAAAAGTAAACATACAGCCCAGCCCTAGCCTGTGGAAGACCTCAGTCTACAACGCCACAAACTAATGGTAGTAACTAATATTCAGATTTGAATTTGAGATCTATCATTTCCAGTAAAAATCTAAGCCAAAACCAGTACATTTATTGAAACGAGAAGCAGTAGATATTAATGATGAACTCTAAAAACATTTTTTATAAAAGGACATAAAAAACAAAAAGATGGACAGTATTTTACACTTTAAAATGTAAAAGTAAAGACATTTAGTCACATGAAATGACAGACTGGACCTCAGTGCACTCAAATGATCCACACTGTGAATAATGTTGTAATATAAATAAGATTAATAAATGCTTTAAAAAATAAAAATATATAAAGTTATAAAAGGTGGCTCAGTTTTTCATGTTGACAATAACTTTAACCATATCACTAATATGTCCAATGGAGTCAGCACCTCAAAATAAAGACGACAGTGTTTGAATATATTTTAGTTTGTTTCCTTTTCACTTGTCTAAACTCAGGTAGCAGGACTCCCGTACAGTTTATTGCCGGCCTGTTGGAGACACAGGTGGCCATGGCTTGAGGACCTGAACTGAAAATAAATAAAATAAATTGTAATAAATATAATTACATCATAAGTGTTTTATTTGTATTCTTAACATTCATATTCAAGATCATTTCACACAGAGCTGTAGATTATAGTAGACATTAATTATAGTCCCCAGTAGACCTCTGTAAATGCCTAAATCTTAACCATAAATATGCAACCCAGTCTCACGGCATTTCGTGTTATAGTCACGACATTTAATCTATTGATTCGTGTTCACCAACAAGATTTTCCCCTTTTTTTCGTGTCACACAGAACGATTTTAAAAGCAATGTATTTCTATTGGTAGTGTGTTTCGTGCCTGCACCACGTCTTTTTGTCCGGTCGGATCTTGGAAGACCGGAAGCTGTGTGGTTCATAAAAACATCTTCTTACTCAATATCAAGCCACGATTATTGTTTTTATTTTAAATTGTATAATGTCAGACTTTATTTGCCGTCCGCGAGGAAAAGAAATGGGGCTCAGAGCCTCAGAATACTGAAATCAGTATTTTTAAAATATTTGTTTCCTTCTAATTTGTTATTCTTTTCTAAATAACACACTGTTATTTACTCAACAATAACACACAATTATCCTTGTTTTTATTTATTTGTTTAATTCTATAATATCGGGCTTTTTTGCCGTCCGTCAGGAACTGAATTTCAAAATAAAGTCACCGGAAACAGACGTAGGCGATACACACCCACTGAACTGATTACCCAAGGTCCTCAGCTATGATTGAAGCTCGGTGATTGGATGTTTTAGCCGCAATGCACGTTGGGATTTGGTGTTTATGCGATATGAAATCCAAAAACATTTTAAAAAAAAAGAAAATAATACTTTAATCCGAGTGTGCTTGCTTTTCTCTTTGAAAGTCATCACATAACGGCATTGTAAGACACGGTTCGGCTGCATTAAATATTACACATCTGCCGTAGTTCTCTATTTATAGAGCCCTGATGAGAAGACTTCTGGACAAACTGGAAGAACTGCCACCGAAACTGAATATGTGACGTGGATCATAAATATATCAGCAATTAAACAACATCTTCAATTTCTCTTCACACAATACGTCTCCTTGCAGTATCAATACTAATTCGGCTGACTTTTATATTTGATCCAATTGGTAGATAGGTAGCGGTGCACAGCTGATAGACAGGGACTATAAGATATTATTGATTTTCCTTGAATATAAGAATGTAAATACTGAATTGAGAGAATAGTCAGGGGTTTTGGGTGATGGGAGACATCTATGGAATCAGAATTTCAATAGCTTACCATTAAATGACGGATATACCTTTCTGTCTGTGATGTTTTACAAATCAGATATTAATGTGTAGAAGTAAAACATGTCAAATATTATAGCAATATCCTGTAAAATTATGTGAAAACATGAATAAAACTACACATCTTCAGATGTTATACATACACAAGTGTCCTACATGTCCTGAATGTTGGGTTAGCTGCCTGTAGAGCAGAGCTAAATTGTCTAGCTTGTTAGCCTAGCTAGTTAGCCTTAGCTAGCTCGGTAGCTTCGAGCTAAGTGGGCATGTTTTTGCAGACAGGCCCGCCTCAGCTCCACCTCTGTCCCCATTTTTTGGATGAGTTAGGCGCTGACTCACTTCCAAGATGTCAACAGCCGTGTGCGCCCTCTTTGGGCTTCATTGTGGCTTTGCAGGAACCTATGGGTGACTATGGACACTACGTCCATTTATATACAGTCTTATGGCATGCACCTTGACAGGGCGGTTATAAATTACAATTATATAACTACAACAACCTGCTACAAATACAACACACCACTATAAAGCTCTCGTAATTATTTTTAAAAAACAGCCAACAATCAACTAAATAATGGGCTACAATATAGCAAACAAATACAATCACTTATAAACAATGCATAGAGGAGTTGAGGTAATCACGGGAGATTACACCAGCACAACTCCTGTAACTCTTTTAACTCCGAAGCCTAAATATAATTGAAAACAGGTGAGTTATATAAGAAATTCACCCCCCTACAGCGATCATGAATATGGAAATTAGCTAGAGGGGGCTGCTGTACAATAGGGTATGTGAAGATTGGATGCCTCCCTTTAGAAGCCAGCCTCCAGTGGTGTGTGTTTATCTTTCACGTTCAAAGTAAAATTAACTAGAAACATGTTATTCTAATTTAAGCAACAGAGCTTCATTTACATTTTTTAAGTTTAGGTCATTGTCTTGTTGTCCTATAAGTAGGTGTGTTACTGTATACACACCGCTTCTGTAACTTAGGTTGAGCAGCATTTTAAAAATACATTGTTGTGTTGGTCCCTCCAATCATAACACACAAATGCTGACTTTTGCTACTTTCAATGTTACATCACAAACAGAACCCCTCCCTCCCGACACACACACACACACACACACACACACACACACACACACACACACACACACACACACACACACACACACACACACATCACACACACACACACACACACACACACACACACACACACACACACACACACACACACACACACACACACACACACACACACACACACACACCCACACACAACACACACACACACACACACACACACACACACACACACACACACACACACACACACACACACACACACACACACACACACACACACACACACACACACACACACACACACACACACACACACACACACACACACTCACACACACACACACACACACACTCACACTCACACAACTTAATAGCTTTTCTCTTTACACTTTGACACAACAGACTTTCACCTGCTCGCTGTAATGCCACATTTGATACACTGACAGCTCAGATGTAGTGTATGACAGTGTAAAATATGTTGCTTCTATTAAGACAATAAATATTCAGGATAGATGTGAAGTTGTTATTGAGAAATCGACAAGATAAGTACCAACTAATATAAATCATTGTGTGTTCCTATTCTGCAGTTTTGCTTGCTGTGTAAGCAAAAGGAACTGCATACATCTCACTTTGTAGAAATAAAGTATTTGTTTTGTTGACTATAATTGTATTTGGAACACATACAACTACAGTTCTGATCAGGGATCAAATGAATCCTGAATGCTTTGCTGTTTTATTATGGGTTAGCAGTAGATCTCTTTGTAGCAGTGTGTTACTTACGGAGTTTCCATGCTTTTTCTGCAGTGTGTTATGGATAGAGGGGGGTCTGGAAGATGGGAGAAAGAGATAAGGAAGGTGAACATTTTCAGATGTCACTCTCATTTTCAAGCATTTATAAGGATAAACAACCCTGATCCAAGAAATTTACATAAAGGTTTATGAAAACTTGAATTCCAAAAATGACCAGTGAATTTCTAAAGATGACGATCACAATAGCTGCTGCTGAGCCTGGAGCAGCTATTGGAATGGAGTAACAGGATTACAATTAAATGCAAAATATATTGACTTAAGTTACTTTCTGAAGTGTCATTAGGCCACTTTCATGATGTTCACTACTTGATCATGTAATTAAAGCTGAGAGTCATATAGAGCAGCATGATAACATAAATCAGTAAGGTAGATGTGGGGATGTCTGTTAAAAGTCTCTCAGTTAAGTTTCACATAAAAAATGATTATAAGTTGTAATGTATAAATACAAAAACATTCAGTAATCGTTGTTATTTGTGATCATTTAATTGCTCCCTGAAAATTGTCTGAGTGATTGTGTTGGCAGCCATTATTTTCCAGGTCTTCCCTCACCTCTTTTCCTCTTCATCTTCCTCCTGCGCTGCTTGTTGACGAAGCAGGCAGCCATGGTGCTGAAGAGGACAGCTGCTGCCAGGAAACAGATGGTTGCCACAATGCCAGCCACCACAGGCCGCGCCAGTCCACGCTCCTCCACCATCTCTGGAGGGGGGAAGAAGTCTGCGGGGGGAGGAGGGGAGAGTCAGGGACGTACAACTGGGTAAAGTCACAGTGTGGCTACAGAATGACAAGGATGCAACAAAGCAGGAAATGACAGCTGCAGACTGTAGACAGACCCAGAGGCTTGAGGAAATGTTAATGATAGCTACATTTTGACTGCATGACGAGCGCTGTGGTAGCATCCGGATAGTGATATTAACAGCTCTAAGTAGGTATAGATAGCAGTAGCTGTAGTGTTGCTTTTTGGGGGTTTTATTTTGAAAAACAAGCCTAAACCTGAATCTTTCTGTTACTATACCGTTTTTCTATGGGGCTTTTATTTTGAAAAACTGGTATTTTCCAAAGCATCCAGTAAGGATATGGTAACTCAACAGGCTTCTATTTTGAATAACAAGCCTACATTTTAGCTTTCTTTAGTGGCGGAAGATGAAGAGTATGAAGAAATACTTAGTATGGAGGATTGTAAACTGTGTGTAGCAATGTCAGTCACAGAATAAAACAAAACATTCAAAAATGTACTTACCGTACAAGACTTTTATTTTATTATTATTATCTTTTATTATGATTATTGCCAACATTCCTTTTCTGGCTCTGAAAATGGGCTGTTATTTACTCTAGATAACCAAGCAGACATGAGTCCACTGATAAAGAGCATGCTGTCCCCTCAAGATCCTACTGTGCTCTGATTAACAAGCTTTCAAATTGTATAAACTCAATCAGGCGGTTTTTTCTGGGTATGCATTTGAGATCCTTTTTTCTCCCTTACTCCCAAACAAAAAAAGGACACCACATTGTATAATCTGTAGGCTTTGATAGCCTTTTGAAAGAAAAGTCCTTCCATATCCAATGAGATGCAAGAGCTGACCTTTAAAACTGTGTGTGGCTTTAAAATAAGCATTTCTGCACGCTATATGCCATAATGACTAAGCAGGAAGTCAACTTACTTCCATAATTATCTGAAAAGAGTCTCACAGTGAACGCTGCAGTCAGTAAAGGTGCACTGTAATGATGTAATGTAATGTAATGTTTGATACCTCTGTATGTTGTTATCCGCTGAGATTATTGCGGGAGGTATGTGAGGTATTTTACTTTTTTGGACATAAGTAAAATACCTTATCAACATGCATGAAACGTCAAAACATGTTGTTTTTAACAAATTATTAAAATAACATACAATTGTGTTAATGCTTTGACAATATGCAGCGAAAACGCAGTCAAATTAGTTCAAGATCAACAGAGAGATGAGCAGCAGCTTCTGATATTGCATTACTCTCCAGCTTTGCCACTAGGGGGCAGCAACGTTCTACCACTGCACATCTTCTTCATTATAAATGCTACCAACAGCTGCTCTTATCAAATGATGTGTACCCAGTGACCTCTGCAGGGGAGTGACATCACAGTTTCAGGGTTTCATTTCAGATTTAAAACAGCCTCTTAGTATTGGGACCAAAAAAAAAAAAGACTTTGATTTATTTGTTTGATTTCTGATTTCTTTGTTGCAAAAAGCAGCCCAGTGCAATCCACTGGGGCAGACAGAAGGATGATGTCATACTTTTAAAGATGGTACAAAGGAGTGTGCATGTAAAGAGAGCTTATGTTAATAGTGCTGAGTGGGAAAAATGTAAAGTTGGAGTTGCTGAGTGTGCAATACATCTACCGCCTCTGGTCAGATCAGGACTGTGAAGTTAGCCTGAGGTTAGCGACGCATGCTACTGCAAGAGGCTGTTGGTTTGAATCCAGAGGTTTAAAGAAGACCTGCCCTTTCTTCTCGGAGTAACACTTTTTTTGACATGCATGTACTGTATACTCTATAATCTGTGTATTTATATATGTGTATTTTTTGTATATATAATATGAGATGTAAGGTCTCACCTGTGCTGGACACACCTACTACGTTACTAGGATCACTGATGATGTCATCCATGACGGCCATGACGCGGAACTCGTACCAGGCCTCCTAAGAGCAGGAGAACAGACAGAGGTCATTCAGAGGGTGAACTCATGTGGTTTTATTTTGTTATTGTCTCAGCTGATAGACATGGATTTGGAGCTCACTCACTGACTGATACCATTTAGTGTTGCCTTCAAAAACAAATATTGGTCCTATATGGATGGCACAATGGAAACTACGAGTTGTGCATTGCAAACTTTGGCATGATTTAGGTTTTTATTTAATCCAATAATTCTACAAAAAAAGATTAGATTATTAAGCACTTAATTAAGGAAATCAAGAATAACTCCTAAAGCTACAGTATAAGGGGGTTCGAAAATCTGTCAAAAATCACACTCATGATGTCATAGTGATATCATTAGGGTTATCTTTGATTGGAATGGACAATAATATGCTGTGTCTCTCGCTACTGTTAGCTAGCTAGCATTATTAATGTTAGCAGTAGCAAATCATTACTGACTGCTTAACTAACCAAAGAAGTTAATATCTTTTGACACCAGTGGTGTGTTTATTAAATTGTAAAAAAAAAACCATGTCTTACATTTGTTTGTATAGTTCTGTGTTCACCACATGGATGTATAAAGAGACACAGCACAGAAAAAAACGAAAATTGGCGCTAGAACTAGGGTTTTGGACTTTGAAGGAATTATTAGGCAGGAAGTGTCAAAAAGACTTCCACAGTCGTGCTTTCCCATTCTGCCTTACTGTCCCTCTCACATGCTTTCACACAAGTCACTTGACTCCCCCATTCGCCTGCTCACCTGTTTCTCATCAGCCCTGCAGTATTTTGACCTGCTCATCTCCACCTTCTCTTTGACAGATTGACAATGTTGCGCATGCCTGTAATTTCCAGCCTTCTGAACGTCTGCTCGATCTATTTCTGCTTTTTGTTGCCTGTTCCTCACCTGCTGACCTGTATGCCCCTCTTGGATTTGTTTGACTGTTCGATCTGCTTTCTGTCTATCCGTCTGTGTTTGAATCTTTCATTAATTCTGCATCATGGGAAAGTAGAAACAAGCATTATGAAGCTTGACCCATCATCGGAATATCAAACATCTGCTGCTTGTCCCAATTTTTACATATATAAACTCAAAAGATGTTTGAAACTTGAATATCTGTAAACATCCAACTAAGAGAAACATGGGTGATTGAGCGTACCAATGTAAAATCATTTCAGGTATAAATATGATATATTGTAAGGGGGAACAGAATATTAAAAAAGCCTCCATAGGAAATAAATATGAGCAGATGCGCTGATTTCTTTAAATAGCCAAATGCGTCTTAAAATTGATAAATCTCCTATGACTAAGTCCTGATGAAACAACAGATTAAGCCTTTTAGAACCCCTTTCATAGTGCTGGTGTTGGCTGCGCTCCACAGTGCAGGTCAGCTACAGCACAGCAGCTGTAGAGCTGGCACAGATCCAGTCGGTGTCTTGCTCAAGACTGAGATTTGAATTTAAAAGGTAGCAAACACAGCACCACTTATACGCAGACAACCAAACAGAGCGTCCCTCTGGCCAAATGACCTCATCTGATGCAGAAAGAGATTTGAAGCTAAAAAGTTAAACAAGCGAGGTGCTTTGTGTGTGTCGAGAGAGCTGGTGAGACTGAGTGGGTGTTGGCGGTGCAATGGAAGGAGAGATAAAAGCATCTGCATGGAGCCGACAGTGGTAGTTAGAATATAAAGCAGCTCAAACATTATATGGAAGGAGATTACCCGACATAAGCAAAGATGTGAAATGCAGAAAAATAAGTATTGTGTCGCATAAATCAGCAAGGATTTATTGATTTCTTCTCTGCTGTAGTGAATTCACTGTCATCTAAAAAGCGTATTGTATTCATTATTCATATTCTTACAGTGTATTACATTGCCTCTCATGTTCCAGATGCTATTCTCTCTCCTCTCTGCAAGTAAAAGCATGTGTGTGTTTTGCAGGTTTAACAAAACGTGTTATGGCAAGAACAGAAAATGCCACCAAGTAAAACCCAGAGATGTCCGAAAGAGAGCCAAGTCAGCATGTGCACACCTGCAATGTTACTATGACAACCAAGGTGGATATGGCAGCTTAATATTCAGGATTCCCACAACTTCTTAAGCATCACATTTGAAGACCTTTCAAGGACATTCCAGGACCAAATCACACAAATGGCAGGACCCAACACGGCATCATTTGAGACACGGATCAAGGTTACTACTGTCACAAACACCAAGAGGTTTTAAAATGAGAACTCACAGACATCAATCTAAAAGAGAGCCTCTAATGTTTAAACACTTGTGGCTATTTTACAGTGAGTTAAAAAGCAGTGAAGTGAAACGATGGAACTTTTAATCAGAGAAAAATAACTGTACCTACCACAAATACTAATTGGCGGCAACTTTTTTTTCTGGATGTTTATTATAAAAAGGATGTTCTTGACTTATTTTCCTGAGTAAATAAAGTGTCTATTCTGTTCATGGATTATTATAACTCACATTTGGGAAACGTGTCTCAACAACCTATATTGCAGCAAGCAGCACAGCTTTCTCACAGTGTCAGCAGTCGATTGCCAGTTAGCTAACAAAAAAGCAAGCATGCTTAGCCAAGCATTTCAGGTGATGTGTATAATTAAGTTTATTTGAAAGACTTGCTCATGCTGCTTGGAACTATACCATCTTTTGCTGGATTTCCGGAAAACCACAGAGGTGACCGGGGTTGAAAAACACCTGAAACTTCTTGTTATAATGTATATCAAGCTATTATATATAAAAAAATAAAGATTTGTTATTTTAATAGAACTGGAGCTGGGATGTTGACCATATTTTACACTTAAAAAATGCTATTAATTATTGTTAAATGCTTAGCAGTAACAGCCATTTTCTGGCTAAAATGTGCATAGAATAACAGACATAGCAGAAGTTATACAATAATTGTCTTAGAGTAGACATTATAATTAACCTCCACTACAGCCCAGACATCCCTCTAGATGAGGGTCTTGTTTGATACTCTGTCTACAGTCCATGACCTGTCTGGTACCTGGATGAGGTCTCGGGCGAGCAGGTCCGTCTCCCCAGCAGGAATGCTGTCGTCTAAGACCTCCCATCGCTCCCCCAGGCGGAACTCCATGACATAATGCTGGATCGGTGCTGTATGATTGGCAGGCAGGATCCAGTTGAGCAGAACTCCCTGCTGCGTGCGATTGGCTGTGAGGCACCGTGGTGGGGTAAGCAGCACCAATGGTTCAGGGGTACTTAAAGGAAATACTGAAAGAGCACAAAAGTGTGTGAGAGCAACTCTGTTATATATTCAGTGTTCTGTTCACCAGCATGATACCAGTGACTCACCCTCCTTTACACTTTGACACTAACATGTATGACAACTAAAGTGTGAAGTGATTAAGCTCTTATACCAAATGCATCTCTAACACATTCACATGTACATTCACATACATCTTTTACATTACTTAGACTCTGAATCCTTGCATCCTGAAAGTCCATTTCTGGCCTGCATGATGCTATCCAAAAGCAGCCCCTGTCTAAATGCTTTGTCTTCTTTCGTTCTACTTCTTGGCTGACACAGAAATTGATGATGCGTGAATATTAATCATAAATGAGTATGTCACTCATCTTTTAAGTGACAGCTTTATTTAGACCTAGTACATTTCCCTTTCCCCACTGCTGTGAGTAATGCAGAGTGATTCAACAAAGCCTAGTTTAAAGGTATAATATGCAGCATTCCTAAAAAGACAATGTATAGACTCATACAAAAATAATCCCTCACAATCATCCTTGATGAAACATTGGACCTGTGTGGTGGTCTCCGTATCTGCAGACACCCTGCAGCCTTTAGCCTGTAGTTTCCCTTTTCTTCTGGGCATCAAAAAAGAGCCTTGTTTCCTCTTGCTTTTTCCATGCCCTAACCTTTTTTTTCTTTTTTTTTTCTTTACTTTACTGGCCTCAGTTGAAACGGTGCTCTCTACATACAGTATAAACAGAATATTAATAAATTATTCCATGGTGTTTTCCAATTTCATATTGAAAAAACGAATGCGTTTTTGAGCCAAAGCTTACATTTTTAAATGTGGACTGGGGATGGATATGACTGGACTTGGTCCTACAGTGTATGATCAGAGCGTGGTTAGCAACGGTCTGTTATGCAGCAGTCTGCTACACAAAAAGAACAAACCTTATACAGTATTGTCTAAATTGACCAATCAGATTTGATAATTAATCTAAGCTGCGTAATAAATAATTGTATCTCTTTGTTTCAGACTAACAGCAGTAGATATTCATAAGTCTCCTCACCTAGTGTGTTCACAGTGACAACCTCGCTGAAAGGGCCTGTGCCAAGCTTGTTTTGGGCCAGAACGCTGAACTGGTATATTGTCTCTGGCTCCAAGCCGGGCACCACCAGCCAGTCCTGGCCTCCAGGCACGGGTATGGAGAGCCAGTCATGTGGACCTAAACGCTCCCTCTTCAGCCTGAACGACGGAGTTCAGGAGAGGTGAGCGGACAGAGAGAGGATTTGAAAAAAACATAATGGGGATACTTGACTATTTTGTCTCTATAAGACAGAGGTTAAAGTTGACTTAAATGTAAGTAAGCAAAATCATTTCAGATACATTTTTAGCTCCATAATTGATCCAACATTACAGACAAAAAATGAATGATTTCTTTCATGAATTTTGTTCACTTCATTCTCATATTGACTTTCACTTGATGGTATTAAGCCCATGCTGCGCTCAGCTTTGCACATTGCTGTTTGCCCATGCCATACATTCAGCGCTCACTGACTTGATCACCAGATAAAGCAGAAAACTGTTACATGCAGCTACAACACTTCACTGTTTATCCCTGATGGGATTGTAAAAGCAGAGCCTATATTTAGGTAGTTTTGATGTTGCAGGAAACATTTGTCATCCCCTACTGAGATGTTTCATTTTAGCAACATAGCTTCTATAGAACTGTGAAATGCAGTATAATTAAATGTAATATTTAAGGAATCAGTACAATTCGTTTTTTTGTTATAGACTGAGTTCCTTAATATTATATATGCTGTAGTTTATGTCCCTATATGATACAGATGCATAGTGCTTACTGAGACTATAGGCCTCCATTTAAATGAATAATGTTAATTAAAGTTTGACGGCAGCAGCGGCAGTAGCAGTAGCAGAAGCAGCGGCAGCAGCAGCAGCAGCAGCAGCAGCAGCAGCAGCAGCAGCAGCAGCAGCAGCAGCAGCAGCAGCAGCAGCAGCAGGAAAGACAATTTTGGGTCATGTTCAGTTTTGTTGCAACTGTCTTTATGAGTTCCTGCAGAAAATCCAAGATTAGAGATGAAAACTCACTCAACCTCGATCTCCATGTATTTCGATCTCAACGTTTTAACAACTGTTCTGAACACAACCCTGGAAAAAGACATTTTCAGAAACAACAGAGGAAGTATTGGAAGAAAAAGAAGAAGCAGGAAGCAAAGCATGCTGGGATGACTCACACATGGCCATACCAGACTGAGAACGTCTGCTGGAAGCCTCCGTCATACCCCACCTCCCAGGACACATTGGCCCAGGTAGAGGACGCCAACACGTGGATGCTGGTGGGGGCGTGCGGGCTTGTGCCTGCGGAGAGGGGAGGCAGTAAGGGTGTGTAGTTAAAAGGGCACATTAGTCACAGAGAAGTCTTGCTGTGATCCATTACATGTATTTAACTTGAGAGATGGAACAAGCCAGCAACCCAATGTAACCTCATCCTACAAGTGTTTTCCCTTGTAACATAAACATGAAATGTATCAATTGAAAAACGATAGCAATAAGAAAGCATGCATGTATCCTTTGTCTTGCTAAATAATGTAAGCTAAGAAAACAGGATGTGGATAGCTTGTCTGATCATAACAGTCAGATAACAGTCTGATCATAATATACTAGATACATGAAAGACAAGACTAGCTTGTTTCAGCTGTAGCTTTAGCCTTCGTTTTTTTGCGTGATGCCAGTAGTTAGCTATATTTGAGGCCCTTGAACATGATTTTGTGTTTGAAAATGATTCAATTTGAAGCGTTATAAAGTCAACCAGAGGATTGCTTTTCCCCCCGCAAGCTAGTTAATTAAGCTAACATTAGCTTGATTAGCCAGCTAGCTAGCTACATCGGATAACAGCTGCAAGCATCAGTTTTCCTTTATTGGCTAGAAGTGAGATGTTGCTTTTTTCTCCTTCTTTCTGAAGTCAAGGACACATTGTGTAAATAATGTACACTGCCCATGTTAAACTGAATGTGCCATACTACAATGTAACAGGCAGGCATAGCAACAGTAACTCAGTGGGTGGGACGTAGACTAGAGAACTGTCAATTACTGCACTACTCTAGATATTCTCATGTAATACATGTAATATGTGTAGGTTTATATATGTAAATGTGTTTGTGAAGTTGTGTTTATGTTGGGTACCTATTACTTGGACGTGCGTGCTGGCAGTGATGCTCGTGGCAACGTTGGTGGCGACACATTCCCACTCCCCATGGTCCTCCTTGGTGAGTGACTTGAACTGTAAGCTGCCCCGGGGCAGAACATTGTGCTTGCTTTTACTGGGCTTGCCTACCTGCAGTCCATCCAGCCAAGGAAAGACAAAGTCAGCCAATGAAGTAGAGATGGAGAGAGGGCACAAAGGGTTGGCACATGTCATTAAAAAACAACTCTAAAAACAGCAAAGGGGCTAGCCAGCTGTTCAACAACCAACAATCTACAATTGCACATCTCCAACAAGATAATGGCTTTCAAAGTGTATTTTAAGTTTGAGAAATTAGACAGAATGATGCATTTCATAATTGGGAGACAGAAACAATAGCTAATCACACAGTATTCAATGAGCCAGATAAAGCATGCCTGATAATCAAGAAAACAATGGACTAATATCTTCCCTTGATTGCATATTTTATAGACATCATTTAGATGTGATTAAATGCTACAATGATATACTGTATAGTTTAAAAAAAATCAGAGCAACAGGTTTCAGAAATGCAATTCTGAATGGAAAACAATGACTGTAACTAAAAACAAATTGTGGGTACAAATGTGGTTACTCAATAAATCTGGTTGCCAAATCCTATACATAAGAAAGAGGGTAAGTGTGGGAGTTGTCTAACCTTTCTCCATGTGATGTTGGGAAAGGGGTCTCCCTCTGCCTCACAGGGGATGATCAGTTCTCTCCCAGCCTCCTGCCTGTACTCCCCTCCAGGAACCACAGAGAATTTAGGAGGCTCCTGTCCAGGGGGAAGCACCAACACAGGTTAGGTAACAATAATGAGTTGCTTTGAGTTTGTAATGCCTCACAGCTGTTTTGCTATGGGGTATGCAAAGTGACTTTGGATGTACCTTTAGCACCAGGGGAGCAGGAGAGGACCATCCCAAAGAACCCAGGGCGTTGTAAGGCATGCAGGTATAGGTGCCGAGAGAGTCCTCCGTCACCTCTGCCACACGGATGCTCCCATCGTCCATTTGGCTCCAACCGGGGAACTGTGGATGGAGAAGTGATTGACGATGTGTAAGGAAGAGTAACATTTTGTAACAGACTGATGATTCCAAACCTAGCCTCACACACGGAAAAAAATGAAAATCTGTTGACATAGACATTGAATTAAAGCCAAGGTTTTTTATTTTTTCAGTGCTAAGGGCAACTGAATCTTTTCACTCAAACAAGAGAAACACTGAACATTACAGGAAGTAAAGTCACATGGAGCTTTAACGAAATGATGCACTAATTTCCAGTCTAAGGCGGAGTGAAGTGAGTGGAACAAAAGCGCCAGCAGCACACCCGCTCACCTTGTCTATCCGGAGAGGGAGGCCATCTTTCTTCCACTTGACCAGAGTTACAGGGGGGTTGGCATCTATAGGACAGCGGATGAAGCCAGGCATACCAATGGCCACGTAGATGACGGATGGCATGTTAACCACACGGGCAGGATCTGGTGGAAAACAAGGAAAACACTTTACAAAACATCTCTTTGGAAAGCCGGTGCCTACTTATTGTAACAGCTGTGAAAAAAGATGAGAAATTAAACAGCTCATGGCAAAGGGCCTTTACGTGGAGTTTATGTGTATAGTTCAACATCAATGCAAATGAGTTTTACTCCTGAACTGAAATTAAATGAGCCGCCTGTTAAACAAGATGACACAGCGTAAATCAATAAAGATTTGAACAGGGATCAAATCTCACTACAATCTGCAATCAACTTCCTTTAATCAGACTTTAATTCATGGAGTGTCCATCTTTCCACTTTTTTCAAAATCACTGATCACATTTTTTAATTGTAAATATGGTATTATTTACAGCCAACAGGTATAGAAATGAATAAATTATTATTACTAGAACTTTAATCCACAATTGTTATTAGCCTAACTCTTTATAGCTGTTTAAAGGCAGTCATTAACTTTGTTCTGATCAAAGATATTAAGAAGGCAAATATTACAATCCCATATTGTCAACAATCACATCTAATTTAATTTTTTTTTTTAAACTGTAAATAATATGAATGGCACCACAGTAATATACAATAACCTCTGCAAATGGCTATTGAATAAATTATAAGAATAGGAAATTGACAAGTGTTCATTGTTAATATTATTCAACTTGAAGTCAGTGTTAATCTGTGTTATTTCTGTTTAGACATTCAGTCTATGTCAAAGTGTTGGACTCAAAAATGCATATACAGTATGAGAATGAAACACTAATACATTCAGTGATCCAACGACACGATGCATAAGAAACTTCCGAAAATATACAGCTACAGCTCTTATTCAATTTTAAATGTAAAATTGTAATTGTATTAAACTCACATGCATTGGATCTCAATGTTGCACCCACAACCACAAAAGTTTAATTTAACCATAACATCATCCATTGAAAATCTTCCAATAATTTAATGTGTGTTTCCTCAAGTATGTTTTTTTAATATGAATTACATTTTCACGTTTTATCCCACGTGACCCGCTAATTCTCAATCAGTCTAATCAGATCCGCTCTCAACTGGTGGACTTTTATTACTGTATTCTTACTATATTTGCTCCACATTAGTGGCTATCATTTCACATTTTCTCCCCTGTATTCTAAGTATTAAATCATTGGGATTTGATATGGGCGAGCCATATCCTCAAAGACAGGCACAATAAAAAGGAGCCCATGTGGCAAAGGAAAGGAGCTACGATTTGAAAAAGGAGGGGAAAGTAAAAACCTCAAATGTGTCCATCTTTAATCCTGAATTCTGAAGCAGTGAGAGGTTTCTAATGAGGTCAAGGAGGAGAACATCAAAGTAGACACTGGGTAATAAGGAGGAGAAATGATGGGAGTGAAAGGAAGAGGAGAGGGGGGGAGAGGAGTGAGCACCATCAGCGGAGAGATAGAGGCTGAGCACGAGCGTGGGAAAGAGGACAGGTGTGAGAGAGAGAGAGGGAGGGATGACGTAAGGTGGAGAGGAGCTGCTGGAGGAGAGGAGGGTGAGGTGGTGAGGAGATGCTGGAGGAGAGGAGGGTGAGGTGGTGAGGAGCTGCTGGAGGAGAGGAGGGTGAGGTGGAGAGGAGCTGCTGGAGGAGAGGAGGGTGAGGTGGTGAGGAGCTGCTGGAGGAGAGGAGGGTGAGGTGGAGAGGAGCTGCTGGAGGAGGAGGAGAGGAGGGTGAGGTGGTTAGGAGCTGCTGGAGGAGGAGGAGGAGAGGAGAGTGAGGTGCTGAACACGATACAGCAAGGAGAGGGGAGGAAGAGTGACTGAGTGAGCGTATGACAGCGTGACATGATGGGATGGATTCAAACACACAGACAGATTGATTGGCCACACTGTTACCACAATAACTTTGTCCCACAGCTGCTGTCCTCCCAAGTCCTGACCGCCAGCCCTCTGCCACAAACAGCCCCCCCCCCAGCGCCGCCACCATCACCACAGACAGGGATATCAGCCAGGATTCTAAAAATAGCCCTCAGACAGCGCTATCGCTCACGACACGCTGGTGCCCACTGCACCATGCTTTAGGGAACTTATTCTCTGGCAAGCTTTTCAGGGACAGAGACAGGGGGAGGACGGAGGGGACGGAGGGAGAGAGGTCTGAACAGAATGAAAAAGAGGAGAGGAACAGGGAATTCAATAAATTAAGGATTGAGTGAGGAAGAGGGAAAAAAAGAAAGGATGAGAATAAGAGGAAAGAAAGAGAGAGCAGTCTGCAGTCTGACAGAGAAGTCCCTGCTCTTACAGCAGTGATGTAATCCCCCCTCTCACCCCCCCCCTCTCCTCTCACGACTGGTGTTGCCTGCCTCTGTTTGCCACACACACACACACACACGCACACACGCACACACGCACACACACACACACACACACACACACACACACACACACACACACACACACACACACACACACACACACACACACACACACACACACACACACACACACACACACACACACACACACACACACACACACACACACACACACACACACACACACACACACACACACACACACACACACACACACACACACACACACACACACACACACACACACACACACACACACACACACACACACACACACACACCACAGTCTAATGGAGTTATCAAGGATTGCAAAGGAATACAAAATGTTTCGTTGCCTTGACTACTGCCAGTGCCCGGTCACCATGTCGATGATGCTAAAAATCTGTCGTCAAATCCAAATAAAAGCCCTAGTGACAAATTCACCAGGCGACATCTCTCTACAGCCCCAGTGGGGGGAGTGCTTCTTGGGAGGAGAAAATAACGAGGAGGCAGCGAGATGAGGACAGAGGGAGGGAGAGAGGGATGTGCTGCTGTACATATATATATATATATATATGTACAAATGAGAAATGAACAGAGAGGGAAAGGGGATGCTGGGGATAGAGACAGCAAACGTGGAAAAAGTGTTCTTGAGAAAACTAATTGGCGTAGAGGTGGAACAGTGTTGGAACTGCAGAGGATGCAGAGGATGAAAAAGAGTCATTTTGTACCCAAATATGAAAGTTGACGACTATCTACGATTATCTACAGTGTCAGATAACTACCAATTACAGATAAGCCTTTGTTAAAACGTAATCCCTCTCAGCTATGTAAAAAGGATTAGTCATCTAGAGTTCTCTGTGAAAGCTATCATTTGTAAATATAGTCATGAATTATGAGAAAGCATATATGCTTCAAGAAGTCTGAAATGCGTGTGTATGTCCTATACTGTCTTCAACAGAAGGTTGCTATGCACATTGATCATGCGATCAATATATAATATCATTTATCATGTATACCAAACTTTAAGGTCATCTTTTTCTATTTTTCTTCATGTATATTCAGTATATGAAACATATAAAACAACTTTATATCACAACAACTTTTCACAATATTCCCAAACAAATACCCTTTTTCTTAACCCATTAATGACAGAAAAGGTTAAACATACATTGTTCAATGAAATCCAATTCTAAAAGAGCATGACTTGAAATGTGTTAATCCATGAAAAGACAATGGTCTTAGTTTTCTCAGGAATACTCTTCATGGAGCTACATGTTTTGTTCATGATTAATTGTTCGGCCACCAGTGTCTTTATTTGAGAAAGAGTTAAAAGGGGGTGACAGGGGGATGAAAATAGTGAATGGTCCCCAGGTCAGATTTAAATCTGGGACCTCCACAGCAAGGACTGAGCCAATAGCTCTACTAAATGCTCCTTTTCCACCAAACCGGATCCGGTTCAAGAACCGTTTCTTTTGCTTTTCTGGTGCTGAACCGGTTCTTCTCTGTAGCACCACTTGTGTTTCCACCGCTCAGAGCCTGAGTGGAGCTCGATTGAAGCTGCGTCATTGCGTCATCGTTTGCGTCATCACGTAAACGTTTACGTGCCTTCTTATGACACCCACACGGAAATCCCTCATATCGACAACAACAACAATGATCCCGGTAGTCTTTCTTGAGTTTTTTTTAGCTTGTTGCTTATTTTCTCCAGAGTCCGGTGGTATCCAGCAGTGGCCAACTCCCGCTGCAGCTGCTGGAAAATAGCTTTAGACCGCGTTGTGCCATCCAACTTCCTCTGTACCTCTTGCGTTGACCAAAGCCCGAGGAGGTCATTTGTCTCTTCAGCGGTCCACTGCTGCTTACATTTACTGGCATCCATCCTGGTTCGTAGTTGTGTGTGTTGCTGAACACAATTTGCGGCATTTTGTTGTTGTTGCTCAGGTTAATCTCGCCCCCCGCCTCCGACGTAAGCGTGAAGTATTGGTTCTTGGTTCTTGCCGTGCAGCCGAGAGGGGTCAGCTTAGAACTGGTTTTCGGTGCTTAGAGCCGGCCCCGCTGTGGTGGAAACAGGAAGAACCAGAGCTAAATCAGGCTGTAGCCCGGAACTGTCTCTGGAACCGGTTTGGTGGAAAAGGGGCTTAAGTGAGCCATTGAAAGCTACCTTTATATGGAAAATGTGTCAAATCAGTCAGCCTGGTGAAGACAGAGTGAAGACTGCTGCTGACAGAGTGATGATGGCAGGGACGACCAAGGCGGGGGTCAGAGTGGACAAAAACAGACTGAACCACAATTGATCTGATACATGTCCTTGTATAAGATACAATCTCAATCTCTTCTACCCTGAACATTCAGCAAGATTAGCCTCAGGTATGGAAAGTACATACAGAGTGTGTGTGGTTTCGACCCAAACGATCCAAAAGGACCGTCAGAAGACAGAGAGGAACCAGGACAGACTCTAAAGTTTAGCAGTGAATCAAGGTCAGAGAGTAAAGCAAGACACTCACATTGCACTGTTAGGAAGGCAGAGGCAGTTGGTGGTCTGCCCAGGCTGTTGCTAGGAGCACAGGTATATTTCCCAGAATCATCAGGTTTGACTTGGGCAATGATGAGGGAACCGTCAATGAGAATACTGACTCTGCGCTTCAAGTCACTGTGAAAATGAAGTGAGAAAAAATGGATGTTAGGAAGAAATGTTTGTTATCTGATTGTAATCTGTCAGTGTGGAGAAAAACATTTAACAAACATTCAAGTCGTAGTACAACAAATATTTCAACAGATGTCTTCCACACAGAAGCTTTGGTTTTGTGTGATTAACCTTCCTAGTACTGAACACAATTTAAACCTATATTTTCAGAATGAAATGGGAATATGAATGGATGGATAAACATGTATACTGTCACTGATGTATGGTTAAAGGCTGATGTGGACTGTGTGTTTGTTCAGAGCCACATGTTCCTGTCCTTGGTGCTCATGTATGGTGGGTAAGGCTAATGGTAATCTATATGTGATTTGCTTGAGCCAATGAAAAATAAAGACATTTGTCATAAACAATATTTGCTATGTCCCTGTAAACTATTTGATATGACTTGGCACAAGGTCTATTTCTCGAATTAAAGGAAGTCAATACATTTCAGTTCAATGATGTGTTTAATCCAGATAAAAATATGCACGTTATCATACCATTTTTTATCATTTGAGAAATACAATTTAATATAAATAATTTTTGTATCCAATCAAAAGATATCATTTCATAACCATTTTTTTCTCATATAAGAATTTGTAATTTTGAAATAGATTACATCAATAATTTTCAATACACATTGGTATTTGTTAACTTGTTTATAACTTAATAAACATGACCTCATTTATATGTCATTTATTTATTCCCCAAAAGCACAAACTCATTACAATACACATGTAAGGTTTATGGCTTTATTGATACCAATACCAACTTTGCCAGATGCAAAGACGTTAAATCTGTATAAAGCGCTCCGTGTTGAACTGAAGGATCACACGGATCTGGGCTCATGCTTGACTTGGCGTCATGCACAGTGCCTGCAGAGTTTCCAGCAGCAAATTCAATCTCTTTTTAGCATGACACCAGTGAAAGTTTAGCCTGGCAATATTGCTGTAGTACTTTGTATTGTTCCTATTTTACCCTTCCAACTTCAAGAACACTAGATCAAACTTGGAGATGTGTTGCCATCGGCAATATTGTTCAAACTAAAACCATTACACACATTGAAAAAGGGGCTTGGATCACCTGCCTTGTCAGTGTTGCAGAGAGACCAGAAGAGGTTTTTTAGAATAATCTTTAGTTTTTTAAGGGAAGAGGATTAGGGCTAAAAGCAAGACACATTTTGATCATGGTAACTCAAACATTGCAAAAGTGTGAATATAGTTCCCTTCGTCAATAAAAAAACTACCTGAAGGAAAGTTCTCACGAAAAAGAAAGGAACAAATCCCAGCTGAGATATTATTCTCCACTACATCATGTCGAAGTAAACACTTTTTTGGGCCTTTAGCCACGAGACCCGACAGATTCTGAGCCGCTGCAGAGCAACAGCCATTTCCCCTTCAGGTAATGTTGATTGAATCTTTTGTTCAGTCTATATTTGCTGAATTATTAAAGACACATAATAATATTTCTACTGTGTTGTTTGCTCCTCCTGCAGCTGTAGCCCAGAAGGAGCAAACTCTGTATCCCCATTCAAAATCACAATTATCATCAAAATACAGTATGCTTAACAATCTTAAAATGGCACTTATATACTTGAATTACTTGACCTTTTATGAAGGCGTACCAAATGCTTTTGCCTCACACATACCAGAGCCTGTGGAGTGTGTTCACAGCAGCGCAGCGTGCCAAAGGGCTTTGTGCAGGTGAATAAAGATCAGCAGGTGTAGAGATTATGAAACACTCTCAGCCCGCCTAAACAGCTGAGCTAATCACAGCTAACGTGATAACAGCAGCTCAGCAAACTGAAAGGGTTACCTCAGGGAATGTGTGGATTTTTTCATAGTATTAAAATAATATACTGACTAATACTTAAAAAATCTGTTAAAACATCTTATTACTAAATTGAAAAAGCTTGCAACATCCAATACATGGAAACCGTTCAAGATAAATGTAATGAAGTCAATGATTTATAAAACCATAATATCATTTTAAAAATAGAATATTTTTGAGTTGCACTGCAGCAATAACTGCGGTATTACAGTGTGTTCCTTTCTGCAAACTGTCTGCAGACCACAATAACACATTCAGAATTTTACTTCTTGAAGAAGACGTTGTCCTCCTCCCAGAACCAGGTGTAGGTCAGGTTGCGAGGGTAGGCCTCCGCCTGGCAGGTGAAGAAGGCGTCCTGCGAGATGTTCACTGTGATGTTCTCAGGGGGGGACACGATGAAGGGAGGGCCTGGGGCAGGAAAACACAGAGGCAGTTGTCAAAAAGGGTTAAAAAACTCATCAAATAAATGAAATACAACATTTAGTCTAGCTGGAAATTCATTTTTTGCTAGGACAAAAACTGAAATTTGAAAAATAAGGAACAGGGGCTGTCACTTTTATTTAAAATTCAACTACTTTGGTTAAATTCAAGATAATATAAAAAAAGAAAAGAAGAATATTCAATTCATAATCATATTTTCAATTGGTTCAACTTTTGAATACACAAGATAAAGGAATCTAATCTGTGTTCAGCTTTATATTCTGCTATCTTAAAATAGCTTGCTGTCCTCATGGGGAACATGGGGCAGTGTGACATTCACAAAGACGTCCCACAGATACAGCCTGACCCCTCTCAGTGGGACCTCCCCACTGCAGACACAACACAGTGATTAGTTACTTACTGGGCAGGGGTCATGCAGCCATGTGCACATAATGCACACACAAACACAGAATCAACACCGCTCTGCATCCTGTTAAGTGTCACTGCAGCCCCCAGAGTCATATCAAATACTTATTTTGCACTCAGTAAAGGATTATTATAATTATTGAGTGATCCTCGCTGTGCCAGACGGATCATCCTCCTTGCACGTGTGGATACTGTATATTTATACTCTGATGCTGGATTTGAAGACATTTCCTAGCTGTGACCATAAATACATCCATAAGCACGCTGAGTTTGAAAAGCAGCCTATCTTACCATCCTATACTTTCAGTTTAATAGCACACAATAGGTGTTTGGAGCATGTGAGCATATGTTTGAATACCGCCCAAAATATGTTATACTACACATGAGTATACAGCTTAGGATAACTGAGCTGTTGCTAGTGAAAGATTAGGTGAGTTTGATCGTGTCAGCTCTGCTTTCTAATATGTGGATTTGTTTATTTTAATCCAAAGATTTTCTGCAAAAAACAGACGATTCACTTTAAAGTCCAATTACAAAACAGGACGTTGATAGATGAATGTAAAGTGAGACAGAGAGGGAGAAAGTATCAATGGGCCAAATACCAAAGAGATCTATCTATGACCCCCTCAGTTTAAAGATTGTGCTAAATACTGGTGGCAAGATTGAAAACAAAGTAGTAATGCCACCAGACACAGGCCTAGTAGATACTTGGTGATTGATGAATTTGTTTCAGCAGTTCAACTATGCTGCTCCGGGAGTGGATGAGATCAATTCAGTAAAGAAACAAGTTAAGACTATAAGCAAAAGTAAGGAAATGACCTAACATTCAGGGACACTGTGTTTTTCTTAATTAGATCATTTAAGTGAAAAACATTGTGTGCACTCTGACAGTACAATAATCAAAAGAAAATCATATTCTTATCTAAAACCTCTATTAAATCTTTCTGTCTGGATGCACCCCCTTTACACTTCTTATTTTAATTGCTTGTCTCTGGATTAGAAAATGTGAGACTCTTTCATTTACACTGTTGGCTGGCTACCTGTTCATGACAGAAACAAAGAGATATTGGTTTGAGAAAGGATTTTCCAGGGAACATTTAAATATTTCTACAGCAGTATAAAATGACAGCTATACAAATGAATCACATCTTTGATGAAAGAATACGAAATATTGTAAAAATGCGAAATACAGTATATCCAATAATCACTTTGGTAGCAGATGTTCCTCTTTATGATCTCATTTTATGTACATTAATGATTTCAAGTTCATCATCCAACAAACCTACCCAATTTTGCTTGCTTTAGTTTACTTTATTTAAGTTAAAGTTCTCTAGGAGAATGTACTTTATGTTCAGTCAAAAAAAACAATACAAAAAGCATTTCTATCTTCAATAAGGAAAACTGTCAGCTACTGAATAAACTAAGCAGTATACTTTGCCCTTCTCCTTCAAAACACTCAACACTACACAGAATTTCAAATGAAAATCCTGCAGCCTGCATGAACATTAAGTGAGACAGAATGTATAACTGCTGGTTAATAATAACCTTCAAACGTCACCGCAGCACGCATTCATCCTCATATTGCTTCATTACTTTTGGTCCTCACAAGGATTGACCCATAATGCGGCCCCCTCACTAACACACACTGATACACTGCTAGCCCCATATGTTAGTCCTGATCTGCAGCCCAGGGCCTGATCCTTTAACAGGCATTTCTATCTGCCAGCCCCTTAGCAGGACGACCAGCACCGGGCCTGGGCTGATAAATGTGTTGATGGTGTTTGAGTTTGTGTGCGTGTGCGTGTGCGTGTGTGTGAGTGTGTGTGTGTGCCCTATATGTACCCAGCTGAGTGCTGGAGATTTGTTGGCACTGTAGTCTCTTAGTTGATCTGCTGCTCAGTGGCTTTCCAAGAGCACTTCTAATAATCCGTCTCTCCCCTGAATTATAAAAGTCAAACAAGGGCTCTGGCTCGGTGCTGTCTATGTTCCCAGTCACTAAAGGAAATATGTGATCTCTTTGAACGAGTTAACTGTCTGTTCGATGACAAAGGGAAGCAACTAACATCCGAAAAACACAAAAACAGAGCGTTGGATTGATGGAAGCAAGCTTAAATTCATTCTTTGGAATAACGCTAAACACCAGAGTACATATTTCCTCCACCTCGACGTATCCACTAAACTCTATCTTCTTGTACAAAGCATGCACACGTTGGTTAAGGTTAGGGTGAGAGAGAGCAGAAATGCAGACATTAATCACACACATGTTCTGGCTGGACTGATCAGGTTTGGCTCAGGATGTGTGCCCAGCATTTCATCTAACAGGACTACCCACTTTAAAGTATGTCTGTGAAGTGTCATAGATAAGACATCTGGGTAACCTTATCATTATGAAGTACATTTTAAATGTGACTATATAATGGCGGGAAGAAAAGGATTAGTTTCCTATGAGCCGTTCTTTACAATTACATTCTGTCTACAGGGCTCAATTTCCCTTTCACAATTAAAGCCCTTGACATGAACAGTTATCACTGTTACAGAGAGCATTTTGCTATAGAAAGCAACTAAACAATACAGCTTACAGTACTGTAGCTAGAAGAGCCTTGTTGACAGAGTAAACAAAGAAGGCAAAGAGGGAGAGTGCTAAACAATATTCTTTTTACTAAGCTTGGTCAGTAAATTCTACGGGGTGTTTTACTTTGCCTGTATCATACTCACTGAGGTTTCTAGTTCTATTGGAATTGTATGGTTGTTTCTTCAGTTTATCATGAAGTGAGCATATCTCTGCTAATGTACTTATATGTGTATCATTCTGTTGGAAATTAAACAATCTGTTAAGGTCTCAGTGAAAGTGAGATTTAGAGAGCCTCAATTCCCGGAGTTCATCTGAGGTCATGACTGTCCAGCTGTGATCTTTGGCAGCGCTCTTTGAAGGAGATGACCTGGAATGTCTGCTGCTTCATTTATCCATTTGGTTGATCATATCTAAGGTCCCTGCACAGATACACATTAGTGTTGACTTTCAATTTCGGGAAAAAAAAAAACGTTAAAATGATGAGCATTGATGTGTGATGAGGCAGATCTTAGAGAATGTGTTGATTCAGAAGCAGAGTGTGAGCTGATACAGACGGATGTTAGAGTTACAGAAGCTGACATTATATTTTTTAGAAGCTGCAAGGTTAAAGCTCTATCCTCCTCTGACTTCATTTCTCTGTGGACCTCTATAAATAATGACCTGCTCAAATATATGAATACAATTGTTACGGTCCATCTAGTGTTAAATGTTCTAAAATGCATTTGTCACAAAACTCATTTCAGAGTTGTCTAGTCTCACTAATAAACATACTATTTAAATTCTACTCAGCCTGCTGTGATAGCATACCATCAGAGAAGAGATATATTCAGTGAACACATTTGAAATGAAATGAAACTTTGACCATTGTTGATGCTGTTAAGCTTATTGTTCTCAATGTGTTACGGTTTTGTATTTATGTTTTCATTTTCCACCTTTTGTTTTGAAATGTTTTCCTCCTTGTGTCTTCTCTGTTCCTTCTTCCTGTGTTTGCCTTCCTGTCATTAGTTCCCCTGGTGTGTCTGATTGTCTGATTGTCTGATTGTGTTCACCTGTTGCCCTTGTGTTTCTGCCTCTCTTACCCCAGCTGTGTCTTGTCTTGTGATTACCCCTCCCTGTATTTAGTCTTGTCTCTTCCTGTGTTCCCCGTTGGTTCATTGTTGGTTCATTGTTGGTTTTTCCTGGTTTTTCCTGTCTTCCTCCATGTCAGTCACGGTTGTCTCTCCTGTCTCCCTCCATGTGGGTCATGGTCAGTTTTTTGTACAACCCATTTGTTTCATGCCTTGTTTTGATCAGCTTTTAAAATAAAGCTCGCTTTTTGTTACGAGACCTGTTACCTTTTTGATAGTCTGCATTTGGGTCCTACCCTTCCACGCCATCCTAACACAATGGCAGTTTGTCCGTCAGCTGGTCAGTAACTTTGGTCCAGATGGTGATGCCTGACTCTTCCTCTAGCTCCACCATGAGGATGAGATTGGTCGTTTTGAGGGAATAACCCGACAATTATTGTAACGATTGCCATAAGGTATGGTAAAGTTATACATTTACTAAATGATCTCATTATGTCTATTTTTTTCTACATATCTATACGTGTATTAAACAAACCTAAATTAAACGTTATACCATTATGCTAAAATTCACATTTAGCTGTGAAGTACTGCCAAATAAACTCTTGTTCATAGGACTCTTATGGCACTACTTCTATTCTATTTTATTGTATTTACTTGCACTATTTTATCTGTTTTATTGTGTTGCACTGTTGGAGGAGCCTGGGACCTAAGATTTTCATCGACATAACTACACTGTAGCTATGCACGAATGACAATAAAAGCCTTGAATCTTGATTCATATTGTGTTGAGTGTATGTTCCTATAAATGATGTACTTAAATACTAAATATGGTCATTTTAGGGTTCATTTATTTATTACGTTTACATGCTTTAATGTTGCAAAAGTGGTTTATTATCTGGCCGGTTCTTCTGTAATTGGTCAACCGCTAAGAGATATGATGGAGTTGTCCCGCCTCTTAGCTTATCACGTACAATGTGTTGGAGCTAGCCAATAGAAGCTTGAGTGTTACGTAGTGATTTCACTATTGTTAAAGAAGTAAACAAAGGAGTCCAATGGAGGCGATTCAGGCAGGGGGGGAGTGTATGAGAGAGGACCCTCTGGAAGGAAAACAGGGATTTGAGCCTTTGCAGACCATTTACATGCACAAAAACCCAGAAAGCATCATAAGGCCTCTCTGAGAAACTCGATTAGGTAGAAACAGATTTGGGGGCTCACATAGTTTCTGTTGTTGTGGATCAATATAGATCAATGTTGTGTATCCTTGCTGGTGTAGAGGTCTGGTCGCCTGCTGTGTACTTTATTGATTAGTTTGAAACAACATTTCTGCTGGATAATAGTAAACCCAGAAATATGCTATATCTTTCTTGATTATGGAAACAACAGTTTTCTATTTTCTCTCTCTATATATATACTGCTTCTCTTCTGAACCACTCACTGTACTACATATTTGCTGTTCTCTCCTTACCTGCTCTGCTCTTTCCAACAGTACTGGCAGCACTTTCATTTTTACACAAATTCTACTTTCGAAGCCTAATGCAGATATCTGTGTCTTATCAATTGACCTCAGATTATTCAAATGTGTTATTTATCTGACCTTGAACTTTGCTCATTGGGACAGTTTTCCTTTGCAAAGACTATTTTCTCCTTTTGCTCATGAATGTGTCTTAAAGGTACTGAGGCTTGCCCAAACATCAACCTGCACATACTCTGCAAAAGCGGTGGACATGCTTTATGAGGGTTTTCTGAAGAAAATCATACTTTTCTATGCGTGTGGTCGCCAACATTTAGAATGACTAATGACGAAAGCTCAACATAAGGGTTTTTTCTGAAATAGAACTTTACAAATCGGAAAAGCAATCCATGGAAACATTACTGCTGTGCATACATGCTATTGTTACTTCGAGCTAACTTTGTGTTGTATGGGGTTAGTAGCTACTGTTTCTGCCATGTAAAAAACATTGTCAGCACAAAACATTATAGTCTTAGGAAAAATAAGGAAGTAAAGAAATGCATCAAATCCAATATAAGTTAAGATAACGTAAATTAAACAAAAATGTCACAAATGAGCACGCAACAGCATCACTTCTTTAAAACGCTAATCTCTCAATGCAATCCTACTAAGCATCACATTCACACCTACCAGAATAGTGAAATATTGCAATACTTTATCTAATCTGTACATTCTGTATAATGAACCCTGGCAGCTACCACAGTCATGAACCATTTCATTAAATCTGTTTCAAACTGTTGAGTTAAAGCAAATACATGTGATTCCTGAGTGCAGAGTGGAGCTATCCAAAAACATGTCCAACAGAAAAACTTAGTTTAAAGCATCAATTAGGTTGATGGAAGATGTGGCTCAGTGTCAGCTGTTATATATCATGCTGTCTGAGGATGAAAACACATGGAATGATGGATATTGTAAAAAACTCAACCTGCATAAATCCAATAAAAAAATGTAATAGCTGTTTCTCAGATACTCTCCTTATTAAAATGAGTGTGTGTGACACATGCAGCTACCTTGTACTAGCAGCCTTGTGGTGTGAACGACTTCTCCCTGGGGGCTGAAGGCTCGACATGTGTAAGCTCCACGATCCTCACGGGTGATGGATAGCACTGTCAAACTCCCATCAGACACCTGAAAACACACACACACACACACACACACACACACACACACACACACACACACACACACACACACACACACACACACACACACACACACACACACACACATTAAAGTACTGAGAGTGCAGGAAATACATTTGTAAGATCAACATTTTATCAAAAAAAAGGATGTATAAGAATTAGTAAGTAATGTAATATTTAAAAAGAATAACAACATGGAAATGGTGCCCAAGTTTGATAAAAGAATGAATTAACAGAACAGCAGAGATGTTACTGTTGATTGCATGTTTGTGCTGAATGAAAGCATATTTTGACTTGCGTCTCATTGATTATAAAACAAATAAGAGATCTTCTGTGTTTTATATTCCTCAAGGTGAACCGTTTTTTGGCCAAATGTTGTAAGATGATTAATAAACCTGCACTTTTACAATCTATTTTATAATTTACCAGGAGCCAGTGTAAAGATTTAGGGGCAGGAAGAGCACAGTTAGTTTGCTTAGTTGTTAATAAGATGAAGTTGTTTACTGCGTGGAGGACCAGTACAATTATGCACTCTGCTGGATATTTGTCTGAACATGACATTTGTTATTGTTGCTTTTCTTTCATAGGATAAAATGCTGATGTAGATATGTGGCTGCAAAAGCTTGGATCTGAGTATATTCACACCAAGATTACCGACTAAGATAAGATGTACTTTATTGATCCCAATTTGGGATTTTTTTGTTACAGCGGCATGTAAACCAGGGATTGTACACAATGTGAAGATGAAAAGGACTACAAAATAAACAGACATAAGCATAAAATAGAAACATCTCAAAATATAACTTAAATGACAGAACTTAAAATATATACATAATGACAGTGGAAGATATATATCAGAAGACTGTCTGTCAAATATACACTATGAAGGGCCACATTACAGGTGGATAGGGTGGGTGGGGTTATCCATGATTGATAACATTTTGTCCAGTCCTCCTCTCCACCACAGTTTTGGTAGCTGTGATGGAGAGGAGGAACAAGTTTGACGCTGATGACAGAGCGAGCCTTCCTTATCTGTTTGTTAAGTCTGCTGGTGTCATTGGCTCTGATGCTGCCCCCCCCCCCCCCCCCCCCCCAGCAGACCACAGCAAAGAAGAGTGCACTGGCAACAACAGACTGGTAGTCCTCCACCACAGCAACATCCTCTCCCAGAATGCACAGGGGCTGTGGAGATGTCCTCTTCCTCCTGAAGTCAATCACCATCTCTCTGGTCTTGGCCACATTCAGTAGCAGATGATTTCTTCCAGTCCAATCCACAAAATCATCCACCAGCGCTCCTGCTTTTGTGATATGATCTGGACTTGTCTATTGATTAGTGTATTATTATTATTATTATTATTGTCCACAAAGCTGCACCATGAGTGAAATGTTTTTATTTGAATCAGTATTGAGACAGTACCGGTCCGTCCTTGTGCCCGGCTCCCTGACTATGCCCGCCGCGGCCCTTCACGCCTTCTCTGCCTCTGCCTTGCCACCGGGACGTCCGCCCGAGACTCCCTCCGTGAACTCTGCCTTGCCCCCGGGTCGTCCGCCCGAGACCCCTTCCTGTTCCTCTGCCTTGCCCCCGGGTCGTCCGCCCGAGACCCCTTCCTGTTCCTCTGCCTTGCCCCGGGCTGTCAGCCCAAACCCGTCCTCCGGACCCCCTCCACCCACCCTTTTGGAAGTGTTGGACTTGGTGTTGGACGTCTTGAATCCGTCCCTTGATCTTAGTTTTATGTCACGATTTTCGTTTTGTCTGTCTTGTCATGGGTTTTATTTTTCAATTCTGTTCTCCATGTGTCTTGTCTTCCTTCCTGTGTTTTCCCTCCTGTGTCTGATTGTCTGATTGTGTTCACCTGTTGCCCTTGTGTTTCTGCCTCCCCTGCCCAGCTGTGTCTTGTCCTGTGATTACCCTTCTTTGCATTTAGTCTTGTCTTCCCCTGTGCTCCATGTCGGTTCATTGTCTTTCCTGTCTCCCTCCATGTTGGTCACGGTCAGTTTTTGTCTTGATGCTACCTCGTGCTACCTGTTTATTTTATGTCATGTTTTTTCAGTAATCAGCTTTTTTTAAATAAAGCTCGCCTTTTGTTCCTTGACCTTTTTGTCTTTTTTATTCTGCATTTGGGTCCTACCTTTTCCCGAATCCGAAGTTCTACATTAAAGACAGAATAGTTACTGACTGACGTTTTTGAAATCTCAAATTAAGCTGAACATGGCATATCTTCCTGTTAGCAGAGCTACAGGTTTAGAAGTATCTGGTACAGTCTTGGGCGAATCTTCTGCTTGTGACTGGGACAAATGTACATATAATACAGTAACTCTCCAATAAAGGAACATTTAATTATGAATCTAATGTTTTACATTTAATGGCTAATGATGACCAGTGTTGGGTGTAACGCGTTACAGTAATGTAACGCATTACTAATGAAATTTGGGTAATATAATACCCGTTACAATTCTCACATTTTAACCCGAAATTAAATGGTGTTTTTTTTTTTTTTCAGAATCGAGTATTCAACTAAGCCGTGTAATAAAAGTTGTTAGTAGCCTTAAGGGCCTACACAGTTGCTGCACTAAACTACATTTTAGCATTTAAAATACCTAGCCATTATTTTGCGGTCATTTTGGTGAAAGTAACTCAAAAGTAATATAAAAGTAGTGTAACTCATTACATTTCAGAGACAGTAATATTGTAATGTAACTTATTACTTGAAAAAGACAGTAATAAGTAATATGTACTGTATTACATTTTGGAAGTAACTTGCCCAACACTGATGATGACATTCATAGATCATATTCTGTCTCCCAAATAAAATAAAAACTAATTGTGTGGAAAATGATTTATATTGTGTGGTAAGTTGTTGGCTTGCTGTTTAACAATGCATATTTGAGAATGTAGGTATAATCGATCTAATAAGGGGAAGTTATTTCCATTCAGTGACGCAGGACTCAATACTGTACAGCGTACACTTTTAAAGAAATTGTGTCTTTCTTCTCATTAAACATACAATCTAAAACCCTTCTCTGCCATGATGAGTGTAAAATATGACAGAGACAAGGATCCCAGCTGCAATGACAATGTGCTCACTGAGCTGCTACACTTACCACTTACAGCTGATCCCACAAGGATCATACTCTCTAATAGATTCACAAATTCTCCAGGAGATTCAGCAGCTCCCCTCTTGTCTCTCTCCCTCTGTGTGAATGGAATGCTTGATTTTGTCTCTTGTGTGTTTTTTGAGATCTGTCGTCTTCCAGGTCTCAGTGGTGGAGAGGAGGTTGTGAGGCTTAGGTCCTATCAGTCTGGCAGCAATTCCCCAGATCCAGATGTGTAATTTATGATTTAAATCTATATATTGTCATGCTGATTTCACATATTGTCATTACTTTCTGAATCGGGGATCCCACCTTAATTTCTTCACAAGGTTTCTTCCATTTCCTTCCTGCTAAAGAGTTTTACGTAATATGAATTGAAGGTCTAAAGACAGAGGGTGTTGAATGCTGTACATATTTTTGGTATCAGGCTATTTAAATAAGACTGCCTTTATCAATAATTTATAATAATAATTAAAGGGGTCTGAAAGAAAGCCCAGAAAAGTTTTCTAGAAGACAGGGCAATGGGATTTTTCCATTGGATTTTGGAATATTGCAAACAATATACTTGACAACACACATTTATGTTACCAACACGTTGTTCAGAAGGATAATCTTCACAAATTAACACAATGTGTAATCATTTAAATCATTTTTCATTAACGCATTCATTAATTTACGCCGACAATTATTTTATCGCACATTAACAGTTTTTCTTCATTCATATTATTATTTTGAAAGTGCGTTGCTCACTGGCTTTGAATACACATACAGACATGACAGGTCACAGGAGGGGTTGGATGATCAGTATTGGTTTAGGATGGGCGTCATCACGCATCTCAACCAATGAGAGCATTTAGGGCATGAACATAAGTGGCAAATAGCTTTTGTTTTATATTTGATTTGACTACATTAATTCAAGTGGACCTATCATGCTATATTTGAATGATATAGTGTAGGACCATACCTATATAAGGCATATTTATACTTTTTTTTTTTCAAAATACCGAACAGATCATGCATTTTAGCCATGCCTCATTTTGCTCAATTTGACATTTTTTCGCTCTGTTTTTGCAAGGGTTGATTCTGTGAGCAACAGCACCATCTAGAGGCCTGGCATATGTACTACAGCGTCTCCAGCGCTTTCGAACGGCAATGGCCGTGGCGGTCTCCTCCTGATTGGTGGAGTTGGCCCAATAGCCGTCGCGCCACCATCCTGACGTCAGGACAGTGTTCAAATCTGGATCAGTTTTTATCAGATCCGTTGCAGCCCCTTTTTTAGAGATTTGGGTATGGAGGGAAATAGAGAGGGTTGTGTTTTCTGACACTTGGTGAGTTCCCTGGAACACCGGGGACACATATTCATGTATAAAAGACGTACAAAAGTGCATTTTGCATGATAGGTCCCCTTTAAGGTTGAAGTTGAGATTTACAATCGCGATTAATCGCAGAAAAATCATGCGATTAATCCTTATTACAAATTGTAATCGTTGCCCAGCACCTTTTAAAAGTTACATTTAATAACCAGAAGTCAAAAGCTAATGTAATGATATACTGTAGATTCTGTGTAGTGTTTCAACTTTGCGTGAAGTATGGTCCACCATTTGTCTATTTCACCTGCCTTACCCATGCAGTTAAATAAAATGAATGATCTTTACACAGCAGTATTGTCAGTCTGAAAAACAAGCTTTGATAAATTACTGTATCATTATTCTGAGGATACATAGAGACAGTATTTACCTTGTACTTGGCACTGCTGACCACGAGGCTGCCCTCTCGCAGCCAGCCCACTGAGGGTTTGGGGTTGCCAAAGGCCGTGCAGGTCAAAGTGATGCTCCCCCCCTCCTTGGCCTCTACATACTGAGGTGGTGTATCTGTGAAAGTGGGGGGGGCTGAGGAAGAGAAAAATAATAATTCAAAAGGATGAATCAAAGGTAGAACAATGAAAAACAGTAAACAGTTTTCTGTAGACATGTGTTGACACAATATGAAATGTTGTGTAATGTTAGCAGCAAAAAACACGACAAAACAGTGCACTTGAGTACATAGAATATTATGTAGCGTACATTTTTGGCAAGAAGATTCGGACAGTCATTTTCTTTTTTCCCAAAATATTTCAAATATGTTCTGAAAGGTTAGGGGTGTTTAGTAAGTCAATTATTTGTGGTTGGGCAAATATAACAGATTATACACCTGTTCAGCTGGCTCAGTCTTGATATATGTTATGGTATTCCACTTCAACCATACCTCAGTGAGTGATCCAATCTGGAAGCTGTATATTGCTATATAACGTCCATAATATAATAGTTATGTGTTACACATACTAGTAAATTATGGTTGACAGGTGGTGTGGGGTCCCTTAAGCTTAACAATATATATACTTGAAAACATTTCTAAATGTCTTACAAAGGAGACTATAAATAGGTGGATTTGAATAATAATGCAAAAAAAGTCCTCAACGTTTAAAACCTCTTTTATACTCATAGAACACTACATAACATTACATAATATTTTCTTTTAAAATAAAGAATATTTGCATGACCAATTAGAAGCTGATGTTAGACTATAAGATATATGTGAGGAAATATAAGATGTAATATAAGAGGAAGTGAAGGAAAATGGTCATCTGTCATAATTATTGGTTCTTGATAAGTTTAAAACCCTTCTGAAAATAGTGGGGGTCTTTCATCACTTGTCTCCTGATTGCAGTTAGTATATCTGTTCTTAAGCAGGTGACAAATAATTGCAAAGAGTCATTAAAGTCAACAGCTTTAATGGTGATTGAGGTATTTTTAATAATCCAGTATTTATGCAGTAACTTTTCTACAACATGTGTATTTAAATGGTACAGTACATTATATTTGACACCATCAAACAGTACACTTGGAGCTAAACTGTTAAACTGTTTTCTTGCTAATTTCTTAACACAATGATCATGGATTTAGCATGGATGTTCCCCACTTGAATTGTGCATGTTTTCACATATGTACTATATTTCCTTATGCTAACCCCCCCCCAAAAAACATCACTTGAAAAAGGCATTTCAAATGTTTTAGTTATGTAAAAACATTATAATGATGATATTTCTTTCTAGGAGACATCAAAGTCTTTAAAGGTATGTTTTAACTGGGTACGAAATCATCTTATTCCTCCTTTTGAAGCCAAGTGTACATAATATCAGGAGACTGGCCAATCAAACAGGTTACCGACACACTGCTGAATAATGTGTAAGGTAAAGTGTAAACCTTTACCTGGATTTGCTTATTATTTGGGTTGGTGGATTCAGGGTTGACAGTTGTAGATTTGTACAGGAAGGGTGGAAGCCAAGGAGCAATGGATAGCTTGTCACATAACTCATGTTTATTCCTTAAAAGCTAAGGAATAAACATTAATAACTTTAACCTCTGGTGCTCGGAGTGCATAAGCACCATGCTCATGCATTTATATGCAAAATGCAAACTCAGAAGCAGCTATTGAAAGGATTAATGTTCAAATCCATAATTGTTTGGAAGAATTCTGTGACAAAGGGAGCAGAAGGTCTGACATTTTCTCCAGCAGCAGCAACATTTTTTTTAATAAACAGGAGAGCTTGTTCTTGTCCTTTTCCTCAGAAAATATTTCTTTGAATGCAGAAGTTAAAAGTTGTTTTGACTGACCTGTTTTCCAAATGTCTCCATTTATAATTGGACCTAAATGTTTGCATATATTGAGTTAAATACATGCAGTATAGTGAAGACTGAGAACAAAAAAGGTCTTGATGTCTAATGACCCATCTAAACAAGATAAACTTTAATAATTCAATCAAGAACTTGTTTAGTAATGATGTGCAAGCCATGCTGCATTTTGTAAAATCATTTTTCTAAATCCTCTTTACTTCAGAATCCTTCACCATCATGATGGATGGTCATACAGGACAGTTGGCACATCTTTCTAAAATACATCATTTTCTAATAAATACTTAATGCTGATGTCTATAGCTACCCCATCTTCATTTAACCTTAACATTCCCAGTTCAATGCACACAGACGTCAATACCACTGTCAGTGATATAATGCAGATTTGTTGTCATAATTCCTGTTTTGATATCCTCTATCTAATCACCTTAGGACTGAAGCTGATCTGCTTACATGTGTAATCCTTCAGCTTCTCAATTGCTAGGATGTTTTTCTATCCGCATCCATAAACCGGGCCATAGGGCTCATTCCACACAAAATGCTTTGACACAACACAGAGATGGTGAAGATAAGCACTCTGACCAAGCAGCTTCTGTGATACATTGACACATTATAATATAGCACATCTCCTGGAATGGCTTTACATGTGTCCATTAAAGCAGCCATATTGTGCAGCAAATGACACCATGTGATTTCATCCCACGATTCCAACGTTTTAATACTGGATGGCATCCTACCAGTGTACAGCATCCCTTTAGTGCGCAATTAAAGAGGCTTAAAGAGGCCCTATTATGATTTTTGAGGTTGTCCATTCCCTGTAGCGTGTTATATAGGTTTTTGTGCATGTAAATGGTTCCCTCCAGAGGGAGTTTCTCTCCCACACACTCCCTCCCCATGCCTGAAACGCCTCCATTGGACTCCTTTGTCACTTCCCTAACATGGTGACATCACAATGTAACACTCACACTCCTATTGGCTAGCACTCCAACACATTGTACCTGTTGGCTAAGGGGCGGGACATCTCTAAGCAGTTGACCAATCACAACAGCTAACCAATCAGAGCAGACTGGGCTCTGGTTTCAGACAGAGGGTGAAAAGAGGTGCTGCAGCACAGGCAGTGTGAGAAAAATGGAGTGGAGCTTGCCAGCTTTAAAGCTAGTGAAATAAGGGATCTGTACATTTTGTAATTTGGTCTTTAATTTGTAACATCTACCTTTTTATTTTCATTGGTAACTCAATCATACTTCTTAAATGTATTTTAAATGAATACTGTTTCAACGCTGTGTGTGCCGCACTGCATTTGATGTTGTGTGAAGTGTGACAAAAATTGTTTATCATTTAAAATAATTATTCGTACAAACAGGACGTATTTCTGGCCATGATTTTGTATCTCTTCCTGCTTATCCTGTTCTCCACTAGCATTCTGTCTGAGGATGATAAAGGTTCACAAGAATTCAGGTGTGAATTTGTAGAGGGAAATGCATCAGCGCGATATACTGTAGCACTCCCGCCCACAATCTATATGCATCTCACACGGAATCTATATGCATCGCTTACTTCTTCAATGCCACCGAGGCTGACAGCTAAAGTGCTCAGAGTAATCACCGACAACCACTGATGTTTGACTGTGATAGTGAGAGGTGGATTGCAAATAGGCTCTATAAATAGCAATGCAGCAGGGGTATGGAGCAGGGCGTGATCCTTCAAGATTTGTCACCGCAATTCTAAAAAATATTAGCATGAGGATGTACCGTTTATGTGGAATTATCTACTGTTGGTGACATCTCATAATATATTAACATTGAACCCAGTGAAAAGTAGGCATAAAGGATTTTTTACAGCTTCTTTCAGCTCGATTTTACACTTCATTGCAAATGGAGCTCTTGAGGCTGGATAATTCATTTTCGCAATTATACATATGATCAGAAAAAGTGCAGGTACATGCTCAGTCAAACCCTGAGGACCTGTACAAATTAAAGTTACATTTTGGACCAAGGTGAAAGATAAAGGTCCCTTTTCGTCTTAAGGCGAGACACGGCAGGCAAAAACATCGTTTTTCATGCAATGGTCAATTTTGAGATTTTGTGCTATTTTGATTCCATAACATGTTTTTTTTCAGGCTTTTGGAAGGAAAACGTACAAAATACACATTTAGGTGTTTATTTTACTATAGTTTGTCTATTTGCGTCTGTAGGTTTCTCCTAAATTCACCAAAAGTTAGCATTCTAACGTAACATAAAGTACCGCGACCGCTGTTTGCACCATGTCATCAGAGATATCGTTGGAAAGCTCCGGGTGTTTCTCAATGTCGAGGAAGGCTCCTCCAGAGCCACTATTTCAAGGATGCTACGTCATCGAATCCCGCCGAAGGACTGTTCCAATATCCAGGATCCTTGGAATTCTACCGAGGACTGAATCCTTCGTTGCGGGAAATTTCGAGGATGCATCAGTGTATCCTCCGCGGTCTTAAAATCCCCACAAAGCTTTGAACGAAGCATGGAACAGGCTAGCAAGTTTGCAGGTGTGCGTCATATGAGAGGCCCCGCCTTACATTTTCCGCCAAAGATTTTGGAAATTGGTCCGTGTGCAAAGCATTGTGGGGATTTTAAGACCGCGGAGGATACACTGGTGCATCCTCGAAATTTCCCGCAACGAAGGATTCAGTCCTCGGTAGAATTCCTAGGATCCTGGACATTGGAACAGTCCTTCGGCGGGATTAGATGACGTAGCATCCTTGAAATAGTGGCTCTGGAGGAGCCTTCCTCGACATTGAGAAACACCCACTGACTCGGAAGACATGTTTTACCAAGGAAGCGTCCTCGACATTGAGAAACACCCACCGTCTCTCCTGCACAATCTCATCGGATCCAAATATGGTCATTTCCTTTTTATCAGCAACCAATTGTGAAAGTACAAAGGGGTCTTAAACCAAAAAAACAAATCTCATTGGCTGGGGTCAATTTCTGACAACGTGATTCGTTCAGATGCGTCACGTGGTGTGCTAAAACACATCCTGGTTTAGCTTTCCGCTGGAAATGTAAATCTCAAAATGGCAAAAGAACAGCGGAAAAAACGTTCGCAGAGAAGATGACAACAATTGTCACTTGCACGAAGCAAGGTTAGACAAAAAACAAATGACCCCGAACATGAAATACCTTCATGGTGTGCGTTGAGGCGCAAGCTGTCATCCAAAGAACAGGAGGGTTTAGCTAGCGCCT